TACCTGCATGTATGTGCGTATGCATGCACTCGAGCACACACACACACACACACACACACACACACACACACACACACACACACACTCACACATACAGGGAAGGATCTTTAAAATTGCTTATACTGTATTCCTTATAAATATTCAGAAAGCTGAATTGCCACCTGTTTTAGGCTAATGAGATTTTTTTTAATTGAGAGATAATTCCTGTGCCATATGATTCCTCATTTACAGTGCACTATGCAAGAGGCTTCACAATTTATGAGGTTTTCCAACCTTCACCACCATCTGCAAACATTCTTCATGTCCCACTCTCCAGGCCTTAATACCCACTGGTCTGCTTCCTGCCTCTATGGATTTGCCGATTTTTCTTCAACTCTGATGTGCTGTTGAAGTCTCACAGACTGCAAAAACATGATGATCTCATATGAGGAATAAATGGACTAATGAGGTTTATGAGGCTTTGACAGCTTATGATTTTACACCTGGATTACTAACCAGTCAAGACAGTAGTAAATTTCTGTTTAGTGATTTCCAAATGAGACTAGGAATATGGTCTTCAAAACAGACTCAATTTAATTTTCAGTAAGTTTTGATTTAGTTACTATCAAGTTGGGTTATGAATATGATTCGAGGGGAAATTACTTCAATTTTGTTGACTGGAAATAAATGTTAGATGAGATTGGGTACATTTAGCCCATGCTTGACACTGCCTGGATGACCAGGAACTGGAGGCTGGATAGCCCAGAGACCTAGGCTAGGAATAAAAATCAATAAAATGATTCCTAATAATATTCCTACATACTCATAGATCAGTGCCCAGCCTAATCATCATCAGAGAAGCTTCTGCCTGTGACTGATGGGAGCAGATGCAGAGACTCGCAGGCAAACATTAGGCAGAGCCAGGGGAACCCCGCAGAAGAGGGGGAGGAAGGATGGTAGGAGCCAGAAGGGTGGAGGACACCAGGAGAACACTGCCCACAGACATCAACCAAGCAGGGCTCATAGGAGCTCACAGAGACTGAAGTAGCAACCATGGAACCTGAATGAGTCTGAACTAGGTTCTCTACATACATGTTGTGGTTGTTAGCTTAGCGTTTTTGTAGGGCTTCTAAGAGTGGGGATGGGGGGTGTCTCTGACTCTTTCGCCTGCTCTTGGAACTCTTTTCCTCCTACTGGATTGCCTCTCCAGGCTTGACCTGAGGGTCTGTATGTAGTCTTATCGTATCTTGCTATGCACTGTTCAATAGATATCCTGGCAGGCCTATGTTTTTCAGAAGGGAGAAGGAAAAAGAGTGGATCTGGGGGAGAGGAGAGGTGGGGGATGGAAGGAGGAGTGCAGGGGGCAGGGACTACAGGTGGGATACAATGAAAACAAATAAGTATTAGAGATCTTTTAAAATGTATTTTTGTAATAATTTCCAAAATAAAGGGTAAATGTAACTGTGGCTGTTGTTCACTTGTAGGCATAGAACGCTCTGTGAGTATAAATAAACAGAACTGTTATAGGATATCTGTTTGTGTTCTGACAAGTAAAGCTTGCCTGGAGATCAGAGAGCGGAGCTAGCCACTAGTTAACCACAGAGGTCTGGAGGTCTGTACAGAGAAGAGACAGAAGTGGCAAGGCTGGACAGAGAGGAAGTGCTAAAGCAGGGTGGAGACAGGATCTCGGCGCCTTTTGGCCGGAGGATTCTGAGAGGTTGGAAGTGACTGTGGCTGCTCTTTTGCTTCTCTGATTTTTCAGCTTTCAACCCAGTATCTGTTTTTGTTTTGTTTTGTTTTTTTCAAGACAGGGGTTTCTCTGTGTAGTTTTGGTGACTTTCCTGGAATTTACTCTGTAGCCCAGGCTGGCCTCGAACTCACAGAGATCCGTCTGCCCTCTGCCTCCCAAGTGCTGGAATTAAAGGCATGTGCCACCACTGCCTGGCTTTCAACCCTATATCTGACCCCTGGCTTTTATTGATAAAACTAATTAGGATCACAATTCACAGAACCCAATAAGAGATTTTTGTTTGCTTAGAAATTTACCATAGATTGTAGGAAATAAGAAAATGGAATGGGGGAATACTAGAGGTGGAAATGTTTGAGCACAGAGGTGGTGAAGGGACCTTGGAAATGGGGGAGAGTCAACCAGAATGAAGAGGGATGAAAAAGCCATATGGAAATATACAATCCTAAAACAAAGCCGGGCGGGGGGGGGGGGGGGGGGGGGGGGGAATACCCTGCATGTCTGTAACAAGCTCTTCCTTGAAGCTACAGGCTATTAAACAAAATCCAGATGCCAGATATAGGATAAGTCCTTATGAGTTGTTGGTCGGCAGGGCTCTCTAGAGGCCCACAAAACAGTATAGCCTCTTACTATTGCTCCTGTTTGACCAACAGAACTAGAAGGTAATACCCTGTTATGAGGACACCATAAAGGACACCATACACTTTGGTTTCATTGTATAGAGAAATCAAGGCAGAACTGAGCTAGAAGCTTCCTCCCTGCTGGCCAACATTTATAGTGCTGGAAGGTGCTATGTAGGCTGCTAGGAGACATTGATGCTCCTAATAAGGTGTGAATCCCATGAGCTACAATGTCAACTTTCCAGGCTAGATGGTCTGACTGGTGCAATAATGGCATGACTATGATGGGAGTAACCAACTACTCTCAGTCTGAATTTAAAGCCTACTCCATAGAAAGGAATATTGATATGGTACTGACAGATACTCAAAAGTTTATTTCAGGGAAAGTGATAGGAGCTAGAGGGAACTTAATTTTGCTGATTAACTAAATTAACATAGTATTGAACCACCTTCTCAGTATATGTTTATACCCATTTGATAATTATCATTCTTAACCTTAGTCAGAGAAGCTTCTTTTTCCTATGAATTAGGATGAATGCAGAGACTTGTGGCTGAGAATAAGTGCTGAGTGCTGAGTTCCAAATAAGACATTTATTTATACCATCTTTTCCAAGGCTCAGGGAACACTGTGGAAAATAGTGGTAGGAAGATTAATAAGAGCCAGATGATAGTGAGAAAGGCTTCAAAATACCATCTTCTCAGCAATACACAGTCATTGTAATCATGAACTCTTCAACAGCTATGGATAACTGCACTGGGTCTGCACAAGAATGAGCCATCAATAGCCAGGCAAAGATGAAGGAGATGATCAGATGGCCCTACCCCTCACTGCCTAACTATTCCCCAGTGTTAGATTCAGTGAAGGAAAGAGGTATTGCCTTCAGTTGTGTACCCACTGGTGACCCCACCAGACTCCAATGGACAGTCCCAATCCAACAATGACACAGATGGCTCCGATTAAACTAAATGGGCCACATGACAAAACTACAAGTCATGAATATGGAAAAAAGTTGGATAGGGAAGAGAGGGCATTGACAGTGGTGAATGAGGAAAAAGATAGGGTAATCATTAAAGAACTAACTTAACAAAAAAGGAAAGGCATGAGGACATAAAGGAAGATTTTTCAAGAATTTAAATCCTTTATTTTTATATAGAAAAGCCCAATGAGGACATCGAATCTTAAAATGAATTAAAATTTGAGAAGAAAACAGGTTAGCATCATAATTTTCTTGTAATTTATTTTACCCACCATTACCCCCACACTCTTTTGGCTCAGTGGGGACATCATCTCTGAACAAGAAGGTCCCTCTGCAACTTTTTCTTTACTATATCCATAGCACCTAGATCCATAAATGAAAACACAAAGTCATGCATACATTGATGGACACACTTTTTCTCATCTTCCTTTTCTAGTGCTGTTCAGATGGCATCGGCTTTGATGGTTGTCCCAGTACTTGTTTTTATAGCTCTCATGATATACATATGGTGTATGAAATGCCCACAAACTACAGGGACACACCTTGAAAATGAATGACTCTAAGTATACGTCCCATTAAAATGATTTTTAATCATCTGGCTGGCCAAATTGATGACACTTTATATTATCATAGCAAACCAGAGCTGGGCTGTGTGTGTTCCCTGGGCACACTGAAACTCTTCAGAACCTGGCTTTCTTTGCTCATCTTCCTGGTTCCTGGTCCTATATACATGCCATGAATATCTTCCTTCTCTATTCATTCCTCCTTCATCCCTCTCCAAATTTCTTTCCCCTTTAATATTTTCATTAGTCAGGAATGAGAGCCATCTTAATTCTAATATTCCAGTGGCTCTTTGTGAGTCTTTCTTGCCTTCTGTGAAGACTATCACTTGTCCTTTTTGCCTCTTAACATCCACACAATCATAGTTCCTTCTCTCTTCAAAATCACAGGCTTCAGCACCACCTCAAGGTTGTCATAGTCATGTCACTTGCATAAAAGTGAAAATAGCGGGTACCTAGAATCTAAGTCAAACATGCAATCAACCTAGGAGACACTGACAGGCACTCTGACCCTATTGCTACCTATCTTATTGTCCAGCTTTTATCAGACCTATATTTATAGATAAAGTCTAAAAATGCAGGTCAAGTGATTTCATTCTTGAACAAGAAAATAATGTAAATGTTTGCAGAGAATGTCTTAATAATCAATGGATGCCATCGAGTTTAATGAATTTGTAAGGAAATGTTTCCTTTGTTGCACTCTTACATGGTTTTCTTCCCTAGGAGACAGTACTACAGGTAGAAAGCTCAGATCTATGGATGCATACATATATAGGCAGGCTGTTTATCTGCCATTCTCTCTCTAATATCCAGAATCTCAACCAGACTGCCAAGTTGGGATGTATACAATTACAATTATCTAAAATACTGGCTTTTATGTTTTTAGTGTTCTAGTCTTTTTCAAGGGTCCAAAGAAAGCTATAGAGTAATATGAATGTGAGCTTCTCATAGGACCTTAGTCAAGATCCAAAAATTCCCTTCAGATCAACATACAAGACTTCAGCTGAGCCGGGTCCGTCTGGGCGTTGCGGGATTGGGGCCTGTGATCGCTTGGCCCGGACAACTGAGAAGCCCGTGACCGGGCAGAGCTGCGCCATCCCGGCCCTGAAGCCTACTGACCGATTTCTGCATGAACCCCCAGACAGTGCTGCTCCTGAGGGTCATTGCTGCCTTCTGCTTCCTGGGCATCCTGTGTAGTCTCTCTGCATTCCTTTTGGATGTCTTTGGGCCCAAACACCCAGCTCTGAAGATTACCCGTCGCTATGCCTTCGCTCACATCCTCACTGTCCTACAGTGTGCTACCGTCATTGGCTTTTCCCACTGGGCTTCTGAGCTCATCCTGGCCCAGCAGCAACAGCATAAGAAGTACCATGGCTCCCAAGTCTATGTCACCTTGGCTGTTAGCTTCTACCTGGTGGCAGGAGCTGGCGGAGCCTCAATCCTGGCTACTGCGGCCAACCTCCTGCGCCACTATCCAACGGAGGAAGAAGAACAAGCGCTGGAGCTCCTATACGAGATGGAAGAGAATGACCCCTACCCAGCAGAGTATGAAGTCATCAACCAGTTCCAGCCACCCCCTGCCTACACACCCTAATGCCAGCCAGGGCTTTCTTCCTCAGCAGCCCTTCCCCCAGTGCCACAGCTCCTCTTACACCCAGAAGAGCCACTTCCCCCACAGGTCTCACCAGTAGGACCCTGACCATCTTCACCAAACCTTCCCCAGGTGACACTCTGCCTTTAGGGTTGTCCATTTGTCCCTGCTCCGCAGAGCTGGGATGATTTTATATAATGCACTCTTTCCCCTCCCAGAACCCTCTGCTCCTTTCCTGTTCACTAGCTCCTTCCAACCAGGGATGGTCAGATAAGTTTCCTCCCTCCGTGGGCCATGTCTTTGGGACTGGGACTTTCCTGGGTTGCTGCTGTAGTGGACAGTCCCTGAGAGAGGTGCCAGCAGGGCACAGAGGGAAGGGGCTGTGCCATGCAGGTTCACTCTGCCAGGCCCAGCATTTGTGCCACATCTGGATCTGGGCTGACTCCCTCATTCCTTCTAGAGTGCCCTAGGCCCAGCCATCCACTTTGTGGATTCTCTGCACTTTAGTCTCTGGGCCACTCCCCGTGTGTGATCTGGTTTTCTGGGGAGAAGGAATTGCTGTTGGGGAGCAGAACAGCTGCTCTCCTGCCCTGCCCTGGCTTCCTGTGGTTGGAGCCAGGCAGGGAAGCAGAACCAGGCAAGACACTGATCCTACGGAGGACCCCAGTGAAGGGAACTGAGTGCCCCAGCCCCTTCGCCTTTTAATGTGAGTGGTTTAAAATGGAAAACAGAACCAAGCCAAGCATTAGCAGCCGTGCTCTCTTTCTAACACAGGGACATGGCTGCTGCTGTTCAGAAACGGAGCCCATCCCTTACACTCTGCAATATTTTGGACCATAGCTCCCTCTAAGCCTACAGTCACTTCTCCCAGTCTCTCTAACAGAATGCAGGCTTTCTGTCCTGACTCCTTCTTCCAGGCAGCTGTGGCTCCCTGGGGCCTTTCTGTGGAACTAGGGCCACATGGCCCCTGCGGGGCTGAGAACTATGGCCTGGCTGGCTGGCCAGCGTGGTGCTCCTCAGAACTGTGGCACTGAGATGTAACCTGGCCTCAGTTCAGGCACAGGGGCCGAGCAGGGCAGGACCCTCCACTTTCCACAATAGTACTCCACCCAGAGGCCCGTCAGGTTGGTGTCAGGACCCTGTCAGATGCGCAGGCCTGGCTGTAGCCTTCAGAGTCCGTGTGTCCCCTAGCCTGTGACTTGGGGCTACAGCTTGCTGCATGCCCCTCTTCCCTCTGGAATGTATGCTGGTCTTGCAGTGTGCTGCTGGGCTGTTACTCTAGCTATTCTGCTTGCCTTGGGTCCAGTTTTATTGTTTGTTTGTTTATTTTGTTGTTTTGCTTGGAGACCCGGGGCATAAGGCAGGTGGGACTTGAGAGGCCTGCAGCTTGGATGCAGATAGGCAAGCTCTTCTTGTTCATTTATGAGCTTCTTTGGAGTGAGAGTCTAGTGCTAGCTGAAAGGGAGATGAATTCCAATCTCCCCTCACCCTTAAGACAACAGACATTTTGAGCAAGAATGGAGACTCAATACAGTCACTGAACTGTGACTACAAGACTGTCACCTCCTCATTCTTTGGCCAGAAAGAGTGGGGCATATGTGGACAAATGCCCATGCAGATGAAGACCAAGTGTGCCCATAAGAAAGCATCTGCTTGGAGCTCCCTGCTGTGATGCCAAAGTGTGCCCCAGTATGCCTCTCCCATTCTTCCAGACCCTTCTCTGAAGCAAGAAAAGCTGCCAGGGGATACCTGAGCACAAAATCAAGGAGCTAAATTAAGACTACCTTTCTGTGAAGTCCTGAGCTCATCATTGGCAGGTTTCTGAAGTATGTGGCCAGCTCTCTAACATGACATCTGAGGGAGCAGGCCAGAAGACCAGGCACCAAACATGCATGTCAAAGTGAATGAGGACTTGACCCTGTGGACTGTTCCTTGTGGTTTGGAACCCACTTTTACTAGCTTCCTGGTCCTCTGGCCTTTCTTTCACTTTTCCCTGCCATTCTGATACTGATAGTTTGTCATATAAAGTCCTCTGGTTGTGTTTTTCTTTTCTAGGAAAAAAATTAAAAGGCAAAACAAAAACCAGAAACTACAAATGAGAACACACACACACACACACACACACACACACACACACACACACACACACAAAGACTTCAGCTGAGAACCACCAATATGCACCTCTTCTGAGGCTCATCGAAGCCACATATGTCACTTTGTTCTTCATCTAACAATAAGCCTTGAATGGATGTCGGTGGCATCTGATGCCCTCTTTTGGTCTCCATAGGTACCAATTATTCATGTGGTGCACAGACAAATGTGCAAGCAAAATATCCATACACATTAAATAAGATTTTAAAAATCAAAACAAAAGACTTTTTAAAAAAAAAAAAAGAAAAGAAATTCTTGTTGCCAGCAGCCCCTAGAGTGCCTTTCTCTCTTGTTCTCAGGGGTTTGAAGATTTTAGCCTGTCTCTGTACTGGACATTTCCCATCCATCTTCATCCTACACTCAGTTATCCTGAGAAGTGGATGAATTTTTGGAACAAACCTGATTTGAAAAGTTGGAATTTCAGTTCAAAGCAAATTCTTTGTACCCAACAGGGCGAAACCTAGGAGCTGCCATACTGCCCATTCCTCTCCAGCCCAGGGCTGGCACAGGTAGTGCGTGCACTTCATCATCCTCTATAGAGTAAGGTAGATTGAGCAGAAGAAGGTAACCTTGTGATAAAATTATCATCTTCCATGGTTCTTCAGTCCTCTCCCAAACCTAAGCCAGATGCTTTGAAAAGTTTGATCCAGGCTGATATTTTAAAGTATGTTTTATGTTGTGAAACACTTTGAGCCTCAAGCAAATAAAATTCAAATGGACAAAAATATTTCTACATCTTTTAAGTGGAGAGGAAGATAATATGTTATTCATTTAATTCATTAACTGTGTATAATATAATGCAGTATAAATTAAGCAAACCTTCTGCTTTCTACACACACACACACACACACACACACACCATACTATTGTTGGTTGTTTTTTACTCTTTCTGCTCTTTACTCTTTTGTGGACCCACCACCTAGCTCCCAAATAAATCACATTGAGGCTTATTATTTCTTATGAATGCCTGGCCTTAGCTTGGCTTGTTGCTAGCCAGCTTTTGTTAACTTAAATTATCCAATCTACTGTTTGGCTCTGGGCTTTTGCCTTTCTCTATTTCTGTGTATCTTTTCTTTCCTTCTTATTCCATGTCTGGCTGGGTGACTGGCCCCTGGCATCCTCCTCTCCTCCTTTTTCTCACTTCTTGATCTTTTTTTACCCAGATTGTTCCTTCTATTTATTCTCTCTGCCTGGCAGCCTTGCCTATCCTTTCTCCCGCCTAGCTATTGGCCATTCAACACTTTTGTTAGCCCAATCAGGTGTTTTAGACAAGTAAAGTAACACTGCTTTACAGAGTCAAACAAATGCAACATAAAAGAATGTAACACATCTTTGCATCTTTAAACAATATTCCACAGCATAAATAAATCTTCAACTAATATTCCACAACACCATACCACTCAAACTTAGCTCTATTTTTCCAGAGAACCTTGACTAATACAACTAGGAACCATCAAATTATTAATGTTTTATAATTACCTTCATGAATAACTCTAGCAATACACTTCATAAATTCTGTTTTGAAAGAATATTCTGTGACATTGGTGTCTAAATTACAGAATTGTCTTGATGTGGTACATTGTTCTGATAGGGATAAGAAGTTACTGCTGTCAACATATACATCTGATAGAATTGATATCTAGCATATATAAATAACTGAAAAAAATCCCTGAAAATCCAAATTGTCTAATCAGTAAACTAGTAAATGCTTTGAACAGACAGTTCTCAAAGGAAGAATAAATAGCCATTAAATATTGACAAAAGTTCAATATCCTTAGCCATCAGAGAAATAAAAATAAAAACTACATTGAAATTTCTCATCTCACTCTGGTCAGATGGCCACCATAAACAAAACAGCTAAAAAAATACAGGATAGAATGTTAGGGCAATAGGGAGAGCAGGGGTAGGGATATTTATACACTGTTGGTGGAAATGTAAACTGGTAAAGCCACTTTGGAAATCGGTGTGCAGAGTCCTCAAAAGCTAAAAATGGAACTATCATATGACTCAGCTATATTATCTCTGAGTTTATGCCCAGAAGACTCTTTTGTCAACTTACCACAGAGATAGTTGCCCATCCACATTTATTGCACCATTATTCACAAAAGGCAATATGTGAACTAGTCAGTCCTACATGTTCTAGATGAACATATAGAAATGTGGTATACACCCGATGGAAAAAATATTCATTCATAAGGAAGATCAAAATTATTCCATTTGCATAAAAATGGATAGAACTGGTGGTCATCATGTTCAATAAACTAAATCAGACTCAGAAAAACAAGTATTTCATGTTTTCAATCACATGGTAGAATTTGTGATAAAAAACTGACACGAAATAAGTATTAAGCATATGTATTTTGTAAAAAACATAAGTTACTATTTCAGAGGTGTACAGTTTCTAGAGATATGCTAATTTTATACTTGTTGAAAAGGAAAAGCTAATTTAAACTCTGTCCCCAAGGGTAGCCATACTTGTGTGTGTATGTGTAATGTTTCTCAAGTGGGAAGACTCACACTAAATGTGGGTGGCACCTTCTGGTGGCAGTCAGATTACAGGAGACCCAAGGGAAAAAGTTTACTTGCCTGGTTGTCTTCATTCTGGCTAACAAGTTCATCTGCTTTTCACTGAACCCAGCTGCTCTGAGCTTCCAATGTGGCTGAAGACGATGACTATCAGGAGTCTCCCAAGCCTTTGGCAACATATTGGGAGTATTGAGACATCCAGCCTTGAGGACTGAGCAGCTACTAGATTCTTGTCCTCTCTATCGTGAAAACCACGATTTTTGGATCAGTCAGCCTTTATCATAAGCCAGTTTACTAAATCCCCTTTGTTTAGTAAATCTTTATCAGTTCCGTTTCCCAGGGAACCTATCTAATGTAGGAATCATGTTGGGAGACAAGGTCCCTGGGGAGGAAATCAAGTTAAAACAAAACATTTATTACATGCCCCAATTCAACATGACTTTGTCATGAAGAAACTTGAGCACACATAGAGAAAAAGGAAACTATCATTCACATAAATTTAAAGGCACATTGATAATAAACAATGTATATTGTTCATTGACCCATATCTACGTAACTGAAGATAAGGTGTATGCATTGGAGGATACCACTGTCAACCTTAATTGGTTTACCATTGAAACCTAAAAATGGTTTTGCCCTTAGACAGCTGGCTTTGGCTAGGTTTTGTCTTTTCATTGAAATTCCCCCTGCATTTTCCTCTTTCTCCATTTTCCTCCATTATTAAAGTAGTTTTGTAACAAACTTCCTTCTTCTCATACCCTCCTGTCAAAGGTAGTATAAAGTGAGAAATCCATGGGAGTCTGCTTAAGGAATATTAGGGAATTTATTAGGATATTAATTAAGGAAATACACTCAGGAATACAGAACCAAGTAAACAGCTGAAGTCGTCCTCTGTTCTGTCCGGAGGAATCCACCTGGCAGTTCGATCACACCAGGAAGCAGGAAAAAGGGCCTCATGACCCCTCTCCCTTTGTTTTTAAAAGGTAAGTAGTACTGCAAGAAGCATCACTTCCTTAGGACCGTATAGTCCAAGGTCATGGCTAGAGCAAATACCACTACAGTAGTATAAGA